ATGATGACGTTGATAGGTCCTCGGTGCAAGGCTGCTAGCGAGCTATATCCACCCTGAAGGTTAATCTTGGACAATATCTGATGATCGACTCTTTTAAATGAAACCAGAGAGCGTTGACAGAGAGGAGAAGGTAGAAATGACTCAGCCGGAAACTGAAAATATGGATGGAGGACAACAGTTTAGCTTGTTTGCGCCGAGCTAATACATATATTGGTGATAGCGTCGGGGCTAATGCTAAGCTGAGGTTCTTCCATGAAGCAGCTCTGTTGTCCTCCATCCATATTGTCAGTGACAGGCTGAGTCATTTCTACCTTCTCCTCTCTGTCAACGCTCTCTGGTTTCATTTAAAAGAGTCGATCATCAGATATTGTCCAAGATTAACCTTCAGGGTGGATATAGCTCGCTAGCAGCCTTGCACCGAGGACCTATCCACGTCATCATTTACCCAGAATGCTTTGCGTGTAAATAAAACGGCCCCGTCCGTGTAATATATTTTTAATAATTTAGTTTAAAAATTCTAAAAACTGAACATCCTACAGTGTTTTTACAGTCTTTATTTTACAGTTAAAATATACAGTATTTTTATCAAATAAAGTCTAATGTTACAACTAGTCAGGGATCCCTTTAAAAACACAAATATTAACATGCGTTCACAGTAAAAATCAGAATACTGAAGTGAAAAACATCAAAGAATCAGGCAGTTCTGGGTGAAAGGAGAGCAGTGGGCGCTCTTTATTGGGTGTTTCTAGCTCATCCAGTACCTTTTGAAATTTTCCTTGCCGTTTTGCAGAGGCCTGCCCCTGGTGGTCAAAATAACACACAGTAAGGGAGAGACAAGACAAACACCAACCAAAAAGGACTCGCTCGTTCTTCATTTGATTAGTTTTTAGAAATCCTGATTCAGAGACTCAGAGGAGATTCACCGGCCTATTGCTGATGTTTAATTTAAAGCACTGGAGGCACAAACAAACAACAGGTATGGATGAGGCGTCAAGGTGAGATTAACAAAAAACAAAAACAAATGTTTATTATGAAATTGAAACATGTAAATAAGAAAATGAAAATTCTGTTTTGTTGTCGATGTTTGAATCCAGTATCTCAACGGGCTGCGACTGTTAGAAACAAGTTCTTGAAGTTTCTAAAATGTCTCAAAACGTTTGCGGGGGATTCTCTTCCTGGATGTGGAKGGGGATCCTGTGAATGAAGTGATTGTAGGGGTGCACGATAGTTATCAGCCCAATATCAGGGAATTATGATGTCATACTTATTGGTCCAATATCATAACAAACAGAACCAATAATTTATGTACATGTTTGCCAGCACGGCGATGAGAATGCGTGTTTATTTTTATCCGTTTTGGTCAAGCCGCTTCCCGTCCGACACGACCCAAGTAATGCTCAAGCTGCATCAGAAAAAACAACTTTCTCACTACAACAATTAGAATACACCGTGCTGAAAAACAACCACTCATTTTAATAATTATTAATATTATTTTACCAATTAACTCTGTACGTTGCACACAAACTTTATATGAATAAACATCGGAACGACTACTCCCAATTTGAGAACATGTAATGTCCGTTACCTCCTGAATGCAGCACAGTTCTGCTAAAATGCTAACAACAACAAGCTAACGTTCAAGAACTCATCGGGACTTAAATCAATGCTGAGGCTTTGGAGTAATCCAATAAAAACTGCCAGAGAGGACGCAGATCTCAGGCACTTTAACGATGGAAATGATGGCGCTTGACAAGCAGCCGTTCACCCTCGCTAAAAACCGAAGATTTTAKCTCCTTGTTCGCCACYGTTTACCATCGTTAGCCACTGTTTACCATCGTTAGCCACGGTTTACCATCATTAGCCATGGTTTACCATCGTTAGCCATGGTTTACAACGCTGAACAGCTGCTGCCTCTGTGTGTCTTACTGTAAGTACGATGCGGTCGTAATGCATTCACACTCTCAGAAGCACTGTTTCAGGTAGAAAAATGTTTTAAATCGTATATTAATAATAATAAAACCAAATGTATTTTGAATCTAACTTGTGTTAGTGAATTATCTGTTTTGAAGTTGTGGAATGACTTTTTCTCTTGTTTAAATCTGAGATCAGTATTAAAGGTCCTTTTTTATAATTAATGTGCCTTATTTAAAAAGATGGCCATTTGAGAAATTGTTTTGTTTGATTTATTTTAAGAAATGTTTGTTTGCTAAGAGTTTATTTCAAATAGTATAATTTACAGTGTCATTTGGTTTTGGTCTTATTTATTTATGTTATGATCTTACCTATTTTTGACTAGTCTTATCTCCTGGCATGTTATCGGCCGTTAGAAGGAGAAAGTTATCGGTTATCTGTATCGGTTCTTAAAATAAGTTGTTGTGCTTCCCTACGTGATTGGTCAGATTGACTATTCTGGGTGGGGTTTGAAGAGGTTGTAACTGTTGTCTCCTTTAACAATTAACAGATTGTGAGAATAAGGGTATCTTTAATTTGAAAATCTATGCTGAGCTGCTCAGCCTGTGACGGCCTAATTAGAGATGCAAGCCAGCTGTTTGGGGAACTCAGCTCGGACATGTTGTGGAAAAGCTGGTGTCAAATGGAAATCCCAAAAAAACCTAAAGTAAAAGACTGAGGATTCTCTTTTATAGCATGCAGCTAATGAGGTATTTATTTGTGTTTACTTTGTTTATTTGTATGGACTTATATGTACTGAATACTAATGTGAGCTGTAATACTGTGTAGTGCCAGTTTCAGGGTTTGAGGAGGTCTTTGGATGGTTGGAGAGTATGAAGACTTCAATGAACCCGTAAAAGAAATCACACGCGTCTGTATCTGCTTGGAGGGAGTCACAGAAGCCATAAAGGTTCGGCTGGATGAATGCCAGGCAGCTGGGGTTACGTGTCCAAATGGCCAGAAAGCACCTCTAATTTTGAATAAAAACTGGCATTATTCAGAACTCGAAGACAGAAAGGTGCTAGCTGCGTGAAATTTGAAATCCATTCACGTGGAAGTGTAATAATTCAGCTCGGTGGTGTGCGCAGCATAAAGTTAGATTCACTAACTATTAATCCACTAAACAAGAATCTTGGCTCTGAAAACGCTAAACTGCTAAACAGAAAAAAAAAAAAGAAAATAGTGGAAGCTAATGCTAACCACTAATATGAACTTGTGGGACAGACACAAACATGTTTCTTTTAGTTAGTTTTACTGGACTTAAGTGGTTTCGAAAGTTAGCAAAGAAGCTAATCTGCTAAATGAGAAGCTAGTTTCGCTATTAGCGGATTAGCAGAACTGTGGCCGCCACTAGCTGTGTTTCCATTGCAAATGTGCGCAAAACTTTGTCGATATTCTGTTAATGTCGAAAAAAAATGTTTCACAATTGCGGTGTTTCCATTATGAACGAAATGTTATTAAAGTCACATGTGAATACGCTTGTTCTTGCGATAATTCATTACAAACATGGCAGCAATGGATGTAAACACATAGCATATTGCTATCACAAAACTAGCGCTCATCATCAGCCATCAGAGGAGACGTCGGCGTCTTATCGAGGCTTTCGAGCGACAAGCCCCTCATACTTGGGAGTGGCTACGTACGCTGCGTTTTTGGGAAATTGTAGTCGGTGATTTTACTACTTCTACTTCCTGTTGTTTTCTTTCTTGTCGTCTTCTTCACCAGTAGAAACATCTGGTTGTTGATCATATGACTCCCATGATGCGAAAAAAGTGTTTCCATTGCAGTTTTACGAAATACACCAATTTCGATACGGCCAAAAAACCATCTTATCCTAGCCTAGAACAAAACCATTTTGTCAAAAAAAAAAAAAAATGTTTTTTCTAAATTGACGTCTTTCCATTGAGCAAATTTATTTCCGAAATTCAAATTTGCGCATTTTCATGGTCAATGGAAATGCAGCTACAGTGGCTTGGTCACAACAGCCCTAACCTGAATGGACCCAGGTGGGCACTAACGATACGGTAAGTCTCCTGACCTCTCATCCAAACATCTTAAAACGCTCATGTTGCATTTTGACACCTCAACAGGAGCTCTCCTCTGACAGGTCTTAAAAATAGGAAAAAAATGAACATGCAAATCGTCAATCAAAATCCACAATACAGTATGTGATTGTATGTTTATCGGGTCAAAGGTCAGATTCACTGAAACTGATGAATCTGTGGTGCAAAACAACAAAAAGTTCAGTTAAATAATGTGTAAGAACATGAAATAAATCAACTTTAAATCAATAAACGTGGCTGCTGAGTGAGGAAGGGAAAATGCTCACAAAGTGGAAAACAAAATAATGTGCGCGGCCAGAAAGACAGTTTTGCGAGCTGTGCAAAACAAGACTGATTTTCAAGTGCAAAATAAATATTTCCTTTTACCCCCCACAGTTTTGAGTTTCTAACGTGTCTCAAACAGTCGCAGCCATTTGAGATACCGGCTTTATTTATTAAATTTATGAATTAAAACACATTTCTTTCAAACTGCTTGACTATTTTAGTTGCAACGAAACAAAAAGTGTTTTGACTTTTATTTACAAATTTACCAGTTTTGATCCAGAAATTAAATAGTTAAAACATAACTTTTTTTTTTTTTACCAGGAGGCCTTTATTTTATTTTTTACTCTTGGCATTAACATCCTGCTCTACGTGTTTTAGATAAAATAATCTCACTTTTAATAATCTACACATTCAGCCTGCTGTGATGAATAAAGTTGACATATTTTTTGTTTTTGTTATTTGTAGATTATTATTGTTTTAATTTTTTTGAAAAAAGGGGCAAATTTAAGATTTTTTCTTCTTTCTGCTGCCTTATATTTTACTTGATTTGTATTTTTTTAATGAATAAACTTTAAAAACATACAAAACAATTTTATGATGAATAAATATATAAAAAGGAAAAATAATTTAAGAGATTCAGTCATTAACATGAGTTAGATCTGTCAAGACCTTGAAGAAAATGTATTATGATTGATTTTTAATACTTTTTTTTTTTTTTTACAAAAACCTATTTTAACCCTAAATAGTTTTAATTTAGAAAATGAATCTGCTTCATTGATGTTAAAAATTAACCTTTTATCCTGCCGTTGTGACTGGATAAACAGCTGGGAAACAACCTGGATTGCGACTATCAGGTCGATCGATTCTTCTAATTCRTCCGTTTTAAATTTGAATTGTCAAAAATCCCTGTCAAACCACAATCTCCACTCCCTTAAAGCTTCGCCACAAGGTTTTCTTTCTGCCTGAGAGGTTTGATACGATTACCAGAAATTAAAAACTAACAGAAACCCTGACACTCCCCCCGTACGCACTTCAGGTAAACGACAACGTGGCCCAGGTCACACCTGGATTCATAAAACCACAAGAATCCAGATCCAGTTTCAGCTCCAACTACTTCCAAATGTGGTCTGAGGAGTCGGGTCTTTAAACCGAATGACGTTAATGCCAGGTGTAAAACAGGCCTCTAATAACATCTAATATCATCATGAAGCTTTTTGTAAAACTAAAAAAGGGACAAAAAAGTCACAACAACAGAAAAAAGCGAGAAATAAAAATGTGTTAAATAATCAATTTATGAAGCAACAAATTTCACAGAGCAGTCTAGTTTATAAAGCAGCTAAAAACTGATCAGCTCTCATTTTAAAGGACTTAAAACCGGATTTACAACAAAAAGGTTGGCAGGTTGGCAAAAACAAATCGTGATCCTGTGGTTTGTTTTCAAAGCTTCTGACAACGTTTAACATTTCCAGATTAAGCTAAAGATTAAGTCCTGAAGAGGAGAACTGACCAGYGAAGGTACTAAAATAAAAATAAAATAAAATCACTCACAGCTTTCTTGCCGTACTCGCTCTTGGGCACAACGAGAGATCCTGAAAGGTAGCATCCTGGACTTGTTCCTTTAGGGACCCTAAAAAAATTAATTTAATTAAATTTTAAAAATAAATAAACGTGACAACAGAAAATAACAGATGTCACGTCTCGTCGTGTAACTGATGCTAAAAATGTCTTTTTCTTAATCAAAAGTTCAGCTTTAAGCAGTTTTAAGAACAGAACAACTCAACGACCTCCGTGTTTTATTTTGAAAGAGGAAACTCGGCTCAGACTCACTTGTCGTCCGGCAGACTCGTGACGTAGAACGGCTGCGTGGCGCCCGGACACAGGGTGACGGAGTTCGCCTTCTTCTTGGCCATGAGCGCGGCGCGGTGCGTCTCGTACACGTCCAGGCTGAGGGTGGTGGACAGACGGTGGGACACCACGAACGGCAGGTCCTTCAGGCGCTCCAGCTCGCTGGACTGCTCGTGGCGGACCTGCAGCCGTACGGTGTAATCCCCCTTCTCCAGCTTTAGAGAGTACTGTTAAAACCCAAGTGAGYGGCGTTAGGGAACCGTCTTCTGCTGCTTCTTTAAAGGTTTTCACAATAAAAGCCCACCTGGTGTGGATAGGCGTCGCCTGAACCCAGAAGCCTCTTGTTCTGGTCGAACAGCATCCAGAGCTGACTGTCGAACTCAGACTCGTACAGCAGCTCACACAGCATCGGGCAGCTGGGCGTGACCTCTCCACTCTTAGGCTGAAAAAAACATCCAAACGTCAGCTTATAATAATAATAATATTATTATTAAAAAAATATAAAAATAATAAGAAAATAAATAAATAATAATAAACAGCTGCAGCTCTGATGTGCAGGAAGATTTGAGATCACCTGGTGAAAGCTGTAAGTGAGGACGATTTCATAAAGCTGTCTGTTGTTGGGCAGAACGTCCCGCGCTCCCAAAGCTTTGACCTTTGAACTCAGGGGCCTACGACGACACAGACGTGAAGAGAAATTACATCATTTTTAACTAGAGAATTAGCATTTCCTGCGAGAACGCACTGTGAATGCTTAATGCTGAAAGAWYGCTGAAGACGCTGAAAATGTTTAAAAGCAAAACTGCAAATGTGAGGTMAATCTGAGAAAACAAAAGTCGACAGAAGCAGAAAATATTTGAAAAGTGCCAAAAAAAAAATGAACGGAAATTTTTAAAAAGTGTGTGTCAGAAGAAAAAAAAGGTTACAAAAAAGTTGCAATTTGTTGTAAAACA